GGGGGGGAGGAGAACCGTCCCGTGCTCGGCCCTGGCAAGGAAGCAGGAGGAATCAGGGAGCTCTCCCTGGACATGTTGTATGTTGTGTTGCCGACAGAGATCGGTGGGCCCCGCGTGGAGTCGAGCTTGCGATTGAGCCCCATTTCTGCTTCTACTTTTGAGGTGCTGTGCCGTCGCCCGACGCCCTGCCAGTTTTAGAGGAACTTTTAGAGGAACATAGGCATGTGCCAGTGCGGGACGGCGGGACGCACGCAACGCACCGAAAAGGACGCAGTCAAGGAAGAGATGGGATGGGATGCATCTCGGATGGGGCAAGCAGCTGCACAGGACGACGAGTGCCAAGACAACCAGATCCGCCCCGGGACCTGCTCTTCTTGCCTGGGACCAGCACCGGACGTTGAAATCCCAGAACCGACGGCTTCTACTCCCCTCTCTTGCATGAACCTTGGCTCCATCTCGAGGGCCTGGTGTCGTTTTTGGCCACCACATACAAAGCATTGAAAGCCAACCTGGGGCCATGTACGTTGATCGCATGGTCTCAGGAGCCTGCAAGAAACCTTGAGGATTGGGTATTGAAAAGTGGCCCATGAATGGGCCGTCAACTCGTCTTGGGCCATGCCGGCGAGACATCCCGGTCAGAAACGTGGGCCGACATTGACAGCCGATTCCCGCGCAGAGGCTTTCCCATTGATGATGTCGACGTGCGCCAGGCGGCCGACCTCGGCTGCCTCTGTTGTAGGTCCAAAACAAGAGAACCAAAACAGAGGCCGGCCCATGAATGCGGCCAAAACAAACATCATCATCATTGACACGCGTGTTGGTCCAGATGGAGGGGAGGTCGGCACGTCGGGAAGCGAGGCTCCTTCTTCGTGGCACATGGGACGCTGACTACGTAGGCCGCGTCGATGTGTCGGGACGGCACAGGCCAGCTGAGGCTTAGCAGAGCAGAGAGCAGGGACAACCCCCGATCCCTCTAGCTTATTGGGAATCTGCCATGGCCAGCTCACCGCCAGGACGCTACATGACCAAGAACGACGCAACAATCATGGAAAGCCCGAGTGTTTGCTGGTCGTGTGGCCTGTTATGGGGAAATCAGGGCGGCTGCAGCAGGCCATGCCATGCCATGCCATGATGCCATGCGGCGCACACACACGTCTGTTTTCCATTGCCATTGCTAATTGCCATTTCCATCAGCCCGTGGTTTTGCGTTTGCCTGCTGGCGAGATGCAACATGGAAAGTCCTAAAAAAGAACATGGCAAAAAGTGAAATGACTCGGAACGCGCGGGAGCGGACAAGCTTGGCCTTGACCTTGTCCGACGAACTCTCCCAGAAATGGAAACCCAGAAATGGCAACCCCTAGGCCAGTGAGTGACTTGCAGCAGCGCAAGCACCTGTCCAAACCTCCTAGTCACCAGCTCGTTGCCACCCGCCGCGCGCCCACAACAACCCAGAAACGAAACAGGCGCCTCCACAAGCGCGGGGCGACCCAGCCGTGGCTGCGAAGCGAGAGAGCCAAATGTGAGCAACCCTAGCGACTGTGGCTTGGTCCCCGCTGGTGTTCGCCTCCCTGTGATCTCCAGGGGACGCTGTTGAGGAATTACGGAATCCCTAGGCACGCGCAACATGCCACAGTGTGTATAGGCGGATAGGTTGGGTAGGTAGTGACTAGTGGCGTCTTTGGCTGGTCTGGCCTTGGCCCAACCGGCGACCATGGTCGGGGAGCGAGGAGCGCGAGGATAGACAGATGGGGACTAGATATCATGAGACACGCCCTGGGGGCGCAAAGACCTCGGACTAGGTTACAGCTAGGCACGGTGGCTCAAAATCAATTATCGGCTCGATAACCGCCCGCGTTTCGATAGTCTCAACCCCCCGAGCCGCCGACGTCGTCGCCGCCGCCTCGCTCGCAGCCTCAGTCAAACAGGGCCCCCGTCCCAATTGTGTGACAGCCTAGCTGTGGCGCCTTCTCGTTGGCGGTTAGCAAGGCCCAACAGTCTGACAACCGGCGCAGAGACCGTCTTACCACTACACGTTCCCAACGAACCCCAAAGGGCGTTACCTGTCAGGCACGGTCAAGTGCAAAGGGCTATTTATATGCGTGCCCCTATAGATGCTAGCTAAGGGGTTGGCGGCGCGCAGGACCAACATAACGATAGAGCCTCTGTGCTGCTTACGCTCCTTGGCTCCCTACCGTGCCGTCGCCAACAGCCATGGGTCGCGCACGCCTTGGGAGGAGGACTCTGCCGCACTGCTTTGGGTCGGTAAACACGGCCAAACTTGGTTCCGTGTCATGCTTGAGCGATAGTAAACAGAAGTAGCAAGCTCCCGGGTGTTGAGGTGATAGATCCGAGTGCTCGTCTGCAACAGTCAGTCTGCCTATCTCTCGACGACTAGAGAGCCGCCACGGTGCGTGTCTAGTGTCTTCTAAACAGCCCTTTCCAAGTTGAGTAAGTCCTTTCTCACCCTGGTATTCAAATATTATGTCTCTGTCTCCTATGTCATCACCTCACCTTGCCCCAGCGCGCGCAATCCAGCTGGTCGAGAAAAAAGCGTTGCCTGCTGGCCCGGCGTCAGCCATTAGCAATTGGCCTCGACCAGCGCGCTCCGATTGATTCTTGCCCGTTCCATGGCCTGCTGTTGGGGCAAGTCGCAGCACGCTGCTGTGCAAGGGCGAGCCGCTGTACAGCGGTGGGGCTGCAGCCAGCCGACGAGGGATCTGCCACTGACGGAGGGAGGGCCAGCTGGGGGGTCCCCCTTCCATTTTTCTGGGCCCCGCCGCTAGCGTCATCGCAGGCCACCCAACTGACTTGCACCCCCCCAGACAGGACTTGCACTGGCTCCGCGTATCGTCTTTTGTGGGCTGCACCAAAAAGTGCACTTGGCGAGTGGACACCCGCCCGGCCTAGCACAAGGAAGGTCGTGCTCTCGCAAGCAGTGTGCTACTTTCTCCTAGTGCTCCCTCAGCGACAACCACCTCCCGCAACGTCCCTCCACTCCACTCGGCTACGCTGCTGCTTGCTGCGGATACCACGACGGATGGGCTGGGCTGGCTTAACTGTGAGCCACCGCCATCCAGACTGACCGCATCGTCTCGCTCCATCCATCGTAAATCCTACCCATCCCCAAACACCACCCGTCCCCTTCCTTCCTTCCCCCCCAGGTCTGGGTTGCCCTTCGCGGTCGAGACCTGCAAAACAAACAAACCAGCCTTGGGGGTCGTGGTCGTTCGTGCTCATGTTGATTCATCACTGGCACGAGCCATCTCGACTTTACTGTCGCATCTAGCCCCCCTTTTTTATTATACTCTCCTCTTGTCCACTTCGCTTCTTGTTCGCCCTCCACCAGGACCGCTGGCACTGCCACGGCTGCCACCACCGGTCCACCCATTCTTCTTCGCTTGCCTGTTCCTTCTTCCTCGCCCTTTTCTGACCGGTACATACGACGCCAACCACCAGCACATACCCTCCGACCATCCGTACCTTGGCTGGAAGGATCCTTATTCCCTGCCTGCTTGACAACAACCCTCAGTACTACAGCGACTTTTTAATCATTTTGACCATTCTCTTGGCCGTCCGGCCCTTGTTCGACTGCGAGTTGCCTAGCGAGGAGGACCCTTGGGGACCCTTGCTGTCATCCTTTTTATTCCCTCGGGCCTGATTCAATCAAGACAGCAAGCAAGTCCCTGTTTCAACTCAGGACACGGAATCCTGGGCTTGTGTTTGACCTCGACGGATTGCAGTCAGCCAGCGACGGAGACACAAAAAGGCAACCGCGCTTCCCGCAGCTCGCAACCGAGGTGTTGATCACGACCGGTGCATGCGGAGACCATCTTTTAATTCCGACTAGGGCACCACTCCCTTTAGCGACGCGTCGCTTTACATCAACACCGCACGTTTAAATCCCGCTTCTTTCACGCTGGCGTCGACGGAAGTGGCAGCTGCGACACTGCATCCCGCCGCAACAACACACTCACATTCATCAGTAGCACCGTCAAGATGCTCGAGCCTCTACCCCCGGATCCGTACAAGTCTCTCGACCTGCCCGACAATGCCCCGGCTGATGCCATCAAGAAGCGGTACCGAGAGCTGATCCTGAAGTGCCACCCGGACAAGGTCCCCGAGTCTGAGAAGGCCGAGGCCACCAATCGGTTCGCCGCCGTCCAGGGTGCCTGGGAGATCCTGGGCGACGCGGGCAGGCGGGAGGGCTACCACAAGCTCGTCCAACAGCACAAGTTGGCCGAGGAGCTGACGCGCCACCATCAGCCCTCGCGCGCCTCGGGGGGCTTCTACCCGAGTCCGCAGCCAGCTGCTGGCCACTCGCCCCCGACCTCGCACGCTTTCCCGTCTAGGGGCCCGACAAAGTCGAGCTACACCTACCGCGATACCCAGTCGACGAGCTACACGCGCCAGCAGCCCGACTACTACGAGGACTACGCTCGCCCCACGAGGGAGCATCGCAAGGGCACGGGCTTCGACGACAGCTCCTCGCGGGAGCGCGAGCGGGAGAAGACCAAGGAGCGGGAGAGGACTCGCGACCGGGAACGAGATCGCGATCGGGAACGTGAGCGTGACCGCGACCGCGACCGTGAAAGAGAGCGAGAGCGAGATCGGGGAGATCGCGAACGGGATTCGGACCGTTACCGGGACGCTGATCGTTACCGTGAGCCAGAGCGACACCGTGACGACAGGGAGTGGGAGGAGCGGCGCGAGAAGAAGACCGACAAGGACAAGCCGAAGAAGGAAAAGGATACCCGAGACAAGAAGAAGAGGGAAGAAGAGTCGGAGAGGTTAGCCAAGGAGAGGAAAGATGAGGAAAAGGCAGCCCGCAAGGAGGCGAGGAGGAAGGAGGAGGCTGCAGCGAAGAAGCAGCAGGAGGAGGATGAGAGGCGAGCAAGGGAGAAGAGGAGAATACGGAAGGAGCAAGAGAGACGAGATGAGGAGGAGAGGCTTAAAAGAGAGGCGCTGAGGGAGATGGAGAGGAAAGCCAAGAAGGACAAGGACCGAGCAGATAAGGCACGCAAGGAGGCGTCGGTGTCTGTCGAGGAAATCACAGACGACATGGGCGGTATGCAGATGCGGGGGAAGAAGGATCGGTCAAGAGACCGGGATCGGGACCGGGAACGAGACCGAGACCGGGACATTGCTCGCGACGGCATCAAGATCGAGAGGTCCTCGCGTCGGCAGGGCAGCGGTGGCTCGCCATCGTACATGGAGCAGGCGGCGTCGTACGAGGATGAGAAAGCGGCCGCCAAGAGCAGGGCGATGCTGGGCTCAAAGTATTCCCAACAGCTCGAGTTCGCCATGGGCCAGGGCGCCGGCGGCGGCCCCAAGGTCCATGCGCCCAAGCTCAGCCGTGCCCACACGATGCAGCCCGACCTCGAGACGTCATACATCACCCCGGCGAGCTCGTCCATGCGCAGCCCCGGCGGGCGGCAGTACAAGCTGCCGCGGTCGGCCACGGTTGGCGTCAGCGGCATGGCGACGGGGGCGAGCCACCACCAAGGCCGGAGGGCGTCGTACGACGAGCATCCGAGCGACAGCCACGGCGGCACCACCTACGTCGACCTCCCGGGTTCGCCCTTCCGGTCCGCCAAGGCGGTCAGGCAAATCGACCCCATGACCGCGTCGACGTCGTACTACGGCGAGCCCATCACGTCGAGCTACGGCGTCGATACCGCCAAGTACGGCGACTGGAATGTGCCGACGTCGGAAAGCAGGAGGTACCGCAATCCCGCCACCTACTCGAACGGGTACTGAGCGGTTATGCTGTCAGCTTGCTTTTTTTTCTCTCCTCCATTTCCACTCCTATCGAACCACGGATACAATACAATGGCACGCGGGTGTCTCTCATGGGTTGGCGTGGATACCTCATTTTTCGCTTGGCACCTTTTCGGGTTTCCAATTGTTCGTTTACTTGTCGTTGGGTCGGAGTATACACGGACGTGCCTTCTTTTTCCATTTCCTTGCATCTGGTCCAGCTGGACATCTTTGGGAGCGATTGCCCGGGGACCTTGCTCCCCGATCAGTCTCGCTTCTTGTGGGGGTATTTCCCTGACCTGTTCTGCCATCTGTTTTCTTGCTCTGTTTAGTAGCAACTGCCATCCTGCGGAAACGGCTTACTGTATGACTTATGTGAATCCGAATCTATCACAACCCCGACGAGATTTGTCCGAGTGTGAGAAGGCGTGATGGCGGAGCCGTCGTGACATTTTGAATGCTCGATGAGTTGCGGTGGAAGGCTGGGGGAGAGAAGAGCGTGGGCGACGGTGACAGCGAGGCTTGATGGGACAAAAAGGCGTGGATGGAGGCAGGCTCTTTATTTAACGTGGCTCCCGCCATGTCATCAAAGGCTATAGCTATGTACGATATGGGCCTCGTCTGCCTTGTTTTTCTACGACACACATTGGAGTCGCCCGGGCAGGTGACTCCCGCTGACGCTCCAGGCTTCCCTTCCCCCAACGCCCTCGGTAAATGATGAGGGATGACAAGAAAAGAAGAAGAAAAAAACGACACAAAGGTGTACTCGTGGGCCGCTGCCTTGGACACGGCCCCCATCTCTGTGCCACCCGTTCCCTGCCTGGTGACCTCGAGGGGCAGAGCCGTCGCACTGCCGTTTCTGTTGTACCCCGTGTGTCCAGGCAAGGTAGAACAGAAAGAAGAAAAAACAATACGGAATGCAATTATTGAGTGGCAAGAGAGCAGGAGAGGCGAGGGTAGAAACGAGGAAGGAGGAGTGAAAAAAAAATCGGGGGAGGACTTGTCCAAGAGCCGGCCTGCCCTGCTTCGGACGGCCCCTCACACGAGGTGATCTGCGCTCGCTGTTCCTTGGATGACACAACGACTAGCCAGCAGGCGGCAGGATGCCGACAGAGGTAGGTAAGCTAAGTAAGTAGATATATGTATCAGGTAGCCGCCCTTGACAAAAAAAAAAAAAAAAAGGACTCCCCAAGGCTGGATTCAGTGCCAGCCCTAACTGAGCTGCCGCCTTAACATAACATGAGAGCAGCACAAGGTGAGTTGCAAGTGATGAGCTCAAGCTACAAGTTTAGCACATTGATGCCGTCGGGCAAACTGACCACAAGTAATGGCGGTCGCAGCTGCGCAATCCTTGACCCGTTTCCGCCGACCGCCTTACCAAGAGGCCGCCTGACATCATATCATGTTGGAACCCGGTTTTTCGAATTTACGCTGCACTCGCGGGGTTGGCACGTTGGTCAGCTGCAGCGCCATCCTCTCCGCGTCTGGTTGGCTAGTAGCACGTGACCGATAGGCTGACAGTGCGGCGGGCACCCAAAAGGGTGCCCTTGGCTGCCTTGAGCGGATCCAAGGAGGAGGCTCATCGTCGTGATGGACACGGCGCTTTCGTTCCTCTCGTACGAGCCCAAAGCCGGCGATGCGCCTTACGAATGGAAAGACTTTGACGCCGCAAAACTCCGGCAATACCTAAAGCCGCCATCATCCCTTAGATTCCGAAGATACATAGGCGGCGGCATCGAAGGCGTGGTGCTCCACGCTCGAGCTGAAAACGACGAGGAGGTGGCCGTAAAGATTGTGAGGGCGACACAATGTACCCGTGTTCGAGTCGGGGTCGGTTTGCTAACCATCTTTGCCAGTACTTTCACAACAAGCAGCCAGAGCCGATACGGGGGACCAAACGCCTTTTTGCCTTTGAGCGGGAATGTCGAAATCGTGCGGTCCTTGAATTGGTCTCGACCAGCCTCCGCGAGGCCGACGCAAATGACAGGCCGATTCTACTCCACCCGAGACCCAAGACCCGCGAAGACGCCATCAGAAACCTCCGGGCGTTCTCGAGCGACTACGGCGATAGATATCGATCCGACCACCCGGGAGGCTTTGAGGCCGTCGTTCCTACTGTTCATATCAACGACTGCCTGGGCTGGATGCAGCTAGATGGCGACCAAGTCTGGTCTCTACTTGGCAGGCTAAGGGTGGACCACCAGGATTTGACCAAGCTCCCGTGGTACTTCGCCAAGTTCGTCCCCAAGGGGGACCACCAAAAAGATATGGTCCGGTCACAGTACAACTTTTTCTACTTGGCAGGTTTTGTTTGTGCGCCATACAAAGAAGACAACTGGCGCGGTTCTGGCATTCTTGTGGATATGGGCGACCTGGTGCTACCAATGGCCCCGGAGTGGAAAGCATTCTATTATGGGCGAAGGGTTAATAAGGAATGCGGGGAGTACTGTTTGGAGTAACCAATCACAGCGAAACGACAGCGCTGTCGCCGTCGTGCCTCCGGGTGAGTGTGAGACGGATGATGGGGGCTGATGACGTTGAGGCGAGAGTCTCGATTGTTTGCCTACCAAGAACATCTCGAGGGGCTGCCTAGGCGGCCCGGCGACGGGAGATCCGGAACAAGACCCCCGGATGGATGGGGTATCAGGAGGACGTATCGCCTGGTCTGGCCATGCGGTTGTCCGTGGTCTCCGGCCGAGCCCCCCCCTTTGGCCTGTACCACTATTTTTGATGATGTCATGGAACGGGCACACGCAGACCCCCCTCATCTGCTAAGCTCACAAATGCAAGACATGCCGGGCATTCTGGCGCCCACAAAGGGGCAAGGTGCGGGAAGAAAAAGAAAAAAAAAGAATCGAATCAAAAGGGGAAAACAACGCAGGAAGGAATCAGTACCGGGTTGTTGCTCCGATTTAATGTCGTCACCCAGCGCCCTTTGCGCCCCACCTATAACAAGCGACACAGGAGGATATTGGCGGCTGACCGGGCCCTAGATTGGGGACTACAACACGGTAATAATGAACGCACTACATGGAGATCTACTGCTTGCGGCTGTTTGTTTTGTTTGTGTGTCTATATACTTTAGCTATGAACCACACCCGCTCGGGGATGAGATAACGAGGGGTATTTGAACCTGTCCAAGAAATGCAAAGGAAACAAAAAAAAAAAAAAGGAAACGAAAGCAGAGGATCCGTCGATGGGTATCCGTGAGCGCTCAATACAATCCTACATGTAAACAATGTTTAGGTTTATTTGCTTAGGGGGAAAGAAAAGGGAAAGAAAGATCCTGAGCTACAGGGTGTGTGTATGGCGACTGACATGTCACTGTACAAAATCGGTGGACGCACGTTATACGAGCACGTAGAGCGAGCAGATCTGTGGAGAGCAAAAAGCCCGACGGCTGTTAGCATTTCACCCCATATAAATATACAAAGAGTGAGAGAGGCACGGCAACCCACCAAGCTCAGGCCCATGATCATGGAGCACCAGAAGAACACATTGTTGGCCGTGTGCTTGCCGCGGATCCAGCGCGTCCGCTGCAGCGCAAAGATGGGGAGCTGCAGCATCTGGCAGATGAAGCCGTACCCGCGCAGCTTCTTGGTGATGCAGGCCATGACGATCTCGTGGCCGGCGGCGCTGATGAGGAACGTGATGAGGGTGGCGAGCGGCTTGCCGATATGCGGGCGGCTGGCGCTGTAAACGTGGCGGCGCAAAAAGGCGTAGACGGGCACGTTCCACTCGCGCGAGAACTCCATCCAGTCGGTGCTGTTCCACCAGTCGGCGTAGAAGCGGCGGTCGGCGAAGAGTGTGATCTCGGCGCACGCGCCCAGCACGTACTCGAAGATGACGAGGAAGACGAGCAGGAACGTCATCATGAAGGGGAACAGCAGCCACGAGATGGTCTCGGACAGGATCAGGAGCGTCTCCAACGCCGAGCCCGTGGCCGCCAGTCGGTGCGATGACTCGACCAGCACAGGCAGGATGAACTCCTCGCTCACAATCGTCAGCAGAAAGATGCAGCCAAACACGGCCACGATCTTGGAGATGAGCGACTGCCAGTCCACCTTTGCCGTGCGAGGGTACTCGAGTTCGTAGCACAGCGTGGGGCAGACTATGAAGTCGTAGTAGTTGGCCCACGTTAGGTTGCGCGGGTACGCCGTGTTGCCCATGGGGCTGGTCAGCTCGCGCGCCAGATCCTCGCGCAGCTGCAGCACGTCGTCGTCGTCTCCGTCCACGTGCCAGTCGCCGCCCTCGCGCTCATCCGCACCACTGCCCAGCACCGGCGACGGACCGCTCGCGTCCGCCACCTTGGCCCCTCTGATCTTGACGTCCACGCCACAGTGCGCCGCAGCAGCTTCGTCGATGCTCCCAAAATGGTTCGGGGCCGTGGTGCGCTTGGGGCTCGCCACCTTGATCTCGCTGGGGTACACGTAAGCGGGCGCTTTCGAGGCGGTCGAAGGGTGGTCGAGGGCGCGCAGACGCTTCTCCGTCTCGGACAGGTGGCCGTTGTAGAAGGAGTACGAGTGCATCTTCATCAGCAGTACCATGGTGTGCAGCAGGAAGAAGACCTGCGCGGTCCACGTCCAGTCGAGCAGAAAAGGCAGGGCGATCCAGAGGGACAGCCAGAGGATCTGGTAGATGCTCATGATGGCCATGCCGCCGCGGGCCCACGTCATCAGCCAGCCGGCGGGAGCGGAGCGGAAGACGCGGTGCAGCGGCAGCGAGATAGCCGTAGTAGCGACCATCAGGAAGTCGGCCAGGGCCAGCTCCCAGACCTTGACGGTGAACAGCCCCCAGATTTGGACGCGCATGGGGTAGCCCGTGTCCTTGATGTTGCGCAACATGGTGGTAATGGCCATGATGGCGAGGCCGATCCAGAACAGGTTGAAGAAGCCATGGAAGTCGCGGTAGTCGCTGTTGGGGTCGAGGTGCGAGAGGCGCGACTCGAAATTGGTCGTCGGGAAGAGGCGCCGGCGTTGGGCGTCCTTGGTCTGGAGCTGGAGCTCGCGGTGTTCGCGACGCACCTGCTTGCGCGCCGAGGAGAGGATCTTAACCGACGGCGGCGCATCGGCAGAAACGGGGGTGGATCGGCCGCTGCTGTTGCCGAGGCGAAGGGCCAGTTAGCGGTAGTCGGTGGGCCAAGAATGCGCAGAGCTTCCGGGGTGACTCTGCCTGGGTGGACATACCTGATGGTTGCGCCATCGTCCTGGGGCGTCTCGAGATATGCGCCGTTGGACGATGCGCTACTCAGCTGCGACACCTGCGAGTGCACCAGCTTCCGTGGGCGCGGGCGGAGGACGTGATCGTTGTCGTGGTCGTGGACGCCGTTAGGAAGCTCGACCGCCGTGGCAGCCATGACGTCTTGTTCTCGTGTGGACAGACACCGGGGCCTGACAAGCCGTCCGTCTTGCCGCTAGTTTCGAATGCGGGCCGGCCGTGTCTTGGGAGGTGTGGTTCTTGCTTGTCAATGCCGGTTGGTATCGACCCAATAACCAAGCTCCCTGGTGGTGGCTGAAACAAAGCTGAGATTGACGGGAGAAGGACGGGAGAAGAACGGGAGAAGGATGGGGAAGGATAGGACAAGGAAAGGATACGAGTAGGCAGCTACACAGTAAGTAGACAATAAGGGATGAATAAGTTCCACGCAGCCCTTTTGACCTGCAAAAGCGTGGTGGTGTCGAATGGATGGCAAACGTCTGGTTTCAGCGTCGTCTCCTTTTTCTGCTGCTTATTTCCGACGTCGCTCGTTGGGGGCTCGCTGGCTGGCCCCGACCCTACATCCATCATCCATCAATTCCCATCCTGGACGTCACGTCAGCGGGAAGCCAAGGGAAGGTCGAGCCCCAGTTGCTGTGCAAATGCATCGCCTGTGGGTCAGCCGCCTTGAACTGGTGCGTCATTGCGAAAGCAGGGCTCCGCACAATACGCGGCCTGGATTGATAGCTGTGGACTTGTGCTTGCCCCAAATGGATGACTGTGCTGTCCTCTCTACCAAATTTGAGTGACACCGGGCGACGACCATTGATCATATCATTAGGATTGTTACCCATTTGGACTACCTATGCCCTCGAAATAGCTGATGCACATCACCTGCAGCGGCAGCGTGCAGATGCAGCAGCCCGCCGCCAATCCGTGCGTGCCGTTCTCCTTTTCGGCTCCCCTGCCCCGTCGAGTTCCCCTGCTCCAACTGCCGGGGTCCAAAATGAAAACCTCGGACCCGGGCAGAAAGACAGGACCTCCTGGCCAGCCGAGTCGCTGCGGGTTGTCGTGTCTGCTCGGTGGCTCAGCTGTGGCGACCTGTGGCGTCCGCGTCCAGCGGTGTCCAACTGCGGGGCCCTGAATCTCGCACGCCCTCCCATTCGCGAACATCGTGCACACCGGCGGCCGCTGTCCCTGCTCTCCAACGCCGGGGCATGTCAAACTTACCGCGGGCCCTGCTCTGCCTCCCCGCCTCCAAGTCGCTCTTTCGCCCCGCGCCCTCTATCAGCCTGCACCGCCCCGTCCCGTCCTTCAGAATGGCCTCGTCGTCCTCCCCCGCCGACCGCCGCCCGCTGGTCATCTGCGGCCCCAGCGGAGTCGGCAAGGGCACCCTGATCAAGATGCTCTTCCAGCGCCACCCCGACACCTTCACCCTCTCTGTCTCCCACACCACCCGCGCCCCGCGGCCCGGCGAGAAGGACGGCGTCGACTACCACTACGTCACCAAGGAGGCCTTCAAGGATCTGATCGAGCAGGACAAGTTTGTCGAGCAGTATGTCGAGCCCCCCCATCCCCTATCCCGCCGGGGGCAAATCCTCACCACCAGGCAGCCCGCTAACCCCCCTTCTCTCCGCCCTCCCAGTGCCCAGTTCGGCAGCAACAACTACGGCACCAGCAAGGCTACCATCGGGGAGCAGACGGCCAAGGGCCAGGTCGTCGTGCTTGACATCGAGATGGAGGGCGTCAAGCAGGTCAAGAAGTCGAGCATCGAGGCCCGCTACATATTTGTCAGCCCGCCCTCGGAGGCCGAGCTCGAGAAGCGCCTGCGCGGCCGCGGCACCGAGTCCGAGGACAGCGTCCAGCAGCGCCTGACCAGGGCCAAGGATGAGCTCGCCTGGTCCAAGACGACCGAGTTCGATCGTGTCCTTGTCAACGACGACCTGGAGAAGACCTTTGCCGAGCTCGATGAGTTCGTCTACTCTGCGCCCAAGGCATGAGATGTGCGAGATATCATTACAACTTCTGCGCCGGGTCGGACTGGTAATATCAATTAAGATAGAATCTATGGTCATACGACGATATGCAAAGCGGCAAAACAATAGACTCATCCTTGGCCTTTTTTCAGCGTACTGTCACCCCACCTTAGCATTGGATCCAAGCGTAGCTGTCCACGGACATTGGCGGAGTAGCTGTCATGCGGCGATGACTGCTAATTCCTCCCATCTATCATGCTACCTCTACGCTTATACTGCTTTCACACGCATTGTAGCTCATTCCAGGCTGTGGCCCCATATTTAGGTTGCCTTGACGGAAGAGAAAATCAACTACCGCAGGGTGGGGTCAACAAGTCTGGCCTCGTCTTCGTGGGTGCGGCGTGCTGTTTGCGTCTGCCCGGTGCAATTGGGTCGATTTCCACCGCATGTGGTGCTCGTGTCCAAAAATTAGCCTAGGCGATTATTCGACGTCCTGCCTTTTTTTTCTATTCTGTCGTTGGGACACTTCTGACTAGTCAAACAAGGTAGGCTTTCTAATCCGATTAAAGTTCCTGGGTAAATCTCGACTAGTTGCAGTTACAAAGGGAACAAACGCGACTGCTTTACAAGCTCTTCCTGACTCTTTGGTTGACTATTACTCGTGCGGGCTAAAAGCGCCTGCAATTTAACGGTCCTCCGGAGTAAAGTGCGGCGGGGCAATTCGACGTTTTCGGGGCAATTCGACGTTTTTCTGTAACATTTTTCCCCAGCCAAATTAGCTAGAAACCAATGTATCGCCGAAAAAGGTAATAGTTAGCCAAACTTTTATAGGCACGGTGCATAGCCAAAAAACCATTGTAATTTTAACCCCGCCAATTTAGGCCTTGCGCTTTTGGGTTTTCCAGCCAAATTTTACCGAAATGCCCAGGATCCGGTGCGAAAAAAGCGCGAAAAGGCCCGGGCTAATAAAGCCCGGGTTTTAATAACCCTGGAAGCTTTCGATTAGGGCGGCTTTAAAACCTTCGCC